GGAAGTGCCCACATGTCCCTGCCAGTGTCTTCACTGTGAGGTGCGTGTGTCTGGAGGAGCAGATGACAGGCCACAGGACCTGTTTTTGTTGGGCTTTCAGCCAGTTTTGTAACAGCAAAAAATTTCTGGGGCTCTTGAGAGGGGAAAATTATATTGTGCACATGAGAGAAACTTGTGGGAAACTGTGGTCTTGAATTTTTTTTACCTTAAGGTATATTTCTAATAGCTACAAGGAAGTATTCAACAGGGACTTTAATCTATGGTTCAAAGGCTGGCAAAGAGGTACAAACTGGAGAGGAATAGGTCTGAAAACTACAGAGGATTGAATCGCTCAAGAAGAATTGCAGAGTGAGAATAGGGCCCAGGATGGAGTGCTTGGATGGACTCTGCTACAAAGAGAAAGTAGAAGAATTCAGAGAAAAAAGAAGAAACCATCAGTGAAGTCATCATAGCAAGTAACACAGAAGAATTTCTGGGAAAACGTCATGAACAGCAGTTTCAAATATGTCAGAAGATTCAAGTAAAGCAAAGGCTAGAGAATAGTTATTGAACATGATTATAATTTAGGTGATTGGCAAACTTTTGAAGAACTGAACTAAAACTACACTGAATGGGTTCAAGAGCAAATGAATGGTGGGAACATTTTTCAGAAAATATAACTTTGCACAGTGTGCTGCACACCTGCATGAACACAGGAACTGAGAGAAACCTACCGAGAGTGACTCAAGAGTCTGTGGTTGACTCAATCCTCCCGAGGATCCAGGTTTTAGCTGTGAATCAAATAAGGCCTTCCAAAAGCTGTTTGGGTTCACACTGTTTTAGAAATTCCAGAAAAACCTTTTTAAGGGAATTGTTCTTTAGCACTAGGTTATTGTGTTTACTGCAGAAAACTGAAAGTATTTGTTTTCAAATTGGTGGTAAATTTTTCCACAACATAGTCAATGAAAATAGAAAAAAAAAAACTTTCCGCAATATACCCAATGAAAATAGTCTGTCAGACTTTGGTGGCAGCAAATCTGGATGTTCCATAAAAAATGTAGCATACTGTCCTCTCAAATTTCATTCCAATCAAGAAACAAAAGTTCCTTTTTGCCATGACATCAAAAGGACTGGAGACAAATTTGCACTCAGCATGGAGTATCCTAAGTTCTGCCAAGCTGCTGTGTCTACACGCCAACTTTATCTTTCATTCCTACATTTCCCACAAGCTAAGTTTTACTTATTTATACTTTTCTATTTTAATTCATGGACCCCATAAAGGTCATAAATACAATGTAAGACAAAGTAAAGAACATAAACGAACAACTCACCTTAGACTTATTCATTTTTTGTTGCTCTTGGAAATGCAAATAGCACTCTGGCAGCACAGCTGAAAGACAAAGAAAATGGAGTGAATTAAGAAGAGAACTGGTGTGACTTGATCTTGGATTCTCCTTACCAAAACACTGCCAATTAGCTGGAAACAAGAACCACCACCACCAGCAACACAACAGACCTTTCTCCCTATTGGACGATAGTCCTTTATGCCTCAAAAAGAGGCAGCAAGTAACTAAGTGAAGATGCATCTACAAATACATTAATTGACAAAAAGCAGACAATTTAATTTGGGGCTAGTGAAAACAGATGAGGGTACTTAAGAAGTCTGCATAAAAATTAAATTAAAAGATAATGTGAATCCTTCAATACAGTTTTTGAAGTCCCCTCTTAGATTACCTACTTCAGCAACATCTAATTTTACCTTAAGATATAATTTAATCATTTAAACCAAAGAACAAAATATCATGTCTTCACTAAAATTAATGTGATAAAATATATCTAGGCTGTATTAACCATTTGCCTATTAATACAGGGATTTCACATAGGAGTCCACACGAGTGTTTCCACTAGAACATATCTTGCTTTTATACACCTAAACATCAGAAAAGTGTACATCTTGCACCCCAACATTTTTTGCCTATAAGAAAAAAAGTACATAATGCATATTTCTTGTGGTACACTCTTCCAGTAATAATTTCTAGTGTCAGGTATCCCTGTATCCATCTTCTCATATAGTATGTTCTTGCAATAAACTGGACTTTGCAATTGATTTTCTTTGGCCACTAAGACATTAGAAAATGCAATGCAAACATGGCTTTGGAAAGTGATTGCCATTGGTGCTTGCCTTCTTAGACACAGTTATGTTGTAAAGAAGCCTGGGGCTATGCTGTTGGAGACACAGGACCTACCCAAGAGCCAGCACAAGCTACAGGACAAGTGAGTGATGACATCTTAAACCAACCAGCCTCAGTCGAGGCACAAACTGACTGAAGCCTCATTTGTAATCCAGGCAACACTAATATAGAAACTGCCTACCTGAGCACACGCGAAAAAGCATTTCCATAGCAAATACACATGTAGCAAATGAAATGAGTTTTGTGTTTATTTCTTTTTTTGTAAGCCATTGAATTTTGGTTAGTTTCTTACCTAGCAAATACTAACTGTTACACAGAAGACGCCAGAACTCAATAGTAACAAATTTGGAAGAAGACATTTTAAATTACATGTCAAAAATAGTCAATACAAATTNTGAGGGTACTTAAGAAGTCTGCATAAAAATTAAATTAAAAGATAATGTGAATCCTTCAATAAACTTTTTCAAGTCCCCTCAGATTACCTACTGCTTCAGAAACATCTAATTTTACCTTAAGATATAATTTAATCATTTAAACCAAAGAACAAAATATCATGTCTTCACTAAAATTAATGTGATAAAATATACCTAGGCTGTATTAACCATTTGCCTATTAATACAGGGATTTCACACAGGAGTCCACACGAGTGTTTCCACTATAGCATATCTTGCTTTTATACACCTAAACATCAGAAAAGTGTACATCTTGCACCCCAACATTTTTGCACATAAGTATAAGAAAAAACGTACATAACACATATTTCTTGTGGTACACTCGTCCAGTAATAATTTCTAGTGTCAGGTATCCCTGTATCCATCTTCTCACATAGTATGTTCTG